CAGGCCAACCAAGGGCGAGCCGTGTGAACGCAAAGTCTGCTGCCTCAAAACCGCGCACAAACAGCTTTTCAAGAGCGATGTTGCGCGCGTCCAGCTCGTGAACAACTGTTCTGGCGTTGTGCGTGTGCTCTGGCGTGGCAAAAACGGCCGTCGATGTGCGAGTCTGCGGGGCAGCCGCTATCTCGAGTGTGCGCAGCTGTCGCAGAGAGAACATCACGGACAAATCGACCTTGGTGATGTTGTGGTTGTTCATGCGGAGGGTGACCAGCCTCGGAAACGCCTGGAGGTTGGGCTGCTGCTCGAGCGGGTTGTCATGAAGGCGCAAATGCTGCAGTGCTGGAAGAGGCGTGTGCTGAAAGTTGGTGATGCGGTTGTTTGCCAGACCCAGCGCCGTCAGCGCCCGGCTGCTGTGGAAGAGGTTGGGGTCGAGTTGGGATATCTTGTTGCGGCTCAAGTCAACAGCCGTCAGCGCCGTGGCCGTGCTGAAGGCATCGGGGTGAATGTGGGTGAGCTTGTTGTTGATGAGGAGGAGCGTGTTTAGGTTCGACAAGGGGTGAAAAGCGTCGGCGTCCACGCTCTCAATCTCGTTGTGCGTCAAGTACAGCTCCTGCAGCCGCGTGACGCCGACAAACAGCCAACTGGGGATGTGGGTGATTCTGTTGAGCGCCAGCGAGAGAAGAGTGAGCCGGGACAGTGCGTCAAAGGTGCCCTCAGAAACCTGAGTGAACCGATTGCCGCGGAGCCGCAGGTCCAGAAGGTTCGTGTTGTTGGCAAACAGGTTAACGGGCAAGCTGGTGGCACGGGTGTTGGACAGCTTCAGCTCGCGCAGCTGTGTCAGTCGAGAAAACAGCGCGTCACTGAATGCTTCAATGGGGTTGTTGTTGAGGTTCAGGAATCGAAGGTTGACGACAGACGCGAGCGCGTCAGCGTGAAGCTGGGAGATACCGTTGCCACTGAGGTCGAGGTGTATGAGGGTGCTGAGGCCCGCAAATGTCAGCTTGGCAAGGGTGGACAAGCGATTGTTGCTGAGAATGAGGCTCGTAAGGTTTGGTGTCTGCGTGAAGGCCATTTGTTCAATGGAGTCGAGCTGGTTGCCTGCCCACACGAGCTGTTCCAGGTTTGGCATGGCCGCAAGCGTGGCGGTTGGAAGTGCGCTCAAGCTGTTTGAGGACACATCAAGCGTCTTGATGCTGGGCCCGAGCCCGAATTCATTGTCGCCGTTCGTGGTGTCGACCGGTTGCAAGCTCGTAATGTTGTTTTTGGACAAGTCGATGGTGGTCAGGGAGGTCAGGCGGTTGAAAGTGGAGAGGGGAAACGTCCCGCCCTCCAAGCCGCGGACAGCAACCGCGTGCACGGATGATGGCCAGTCCAGTGCAAAGATCCACCGCAGCTCATACACACTCACCACCGAGTTCACGGTGACATTCCTCGGGCGCACTGTTTGGATGATGTCACTGGCAAAGGTGTTAGCATCGCTGTCTGAGAACGCTCGGACCTCGCTGGCATCGTTTCTGACCAGTTGCAACTCCAACACGCTTGCCTGCCGCGGTTGGGTGCAGTCATACTCTGCTGTGCCGAGGGCGCTTGCACTCAGTGTACACACGACGGGTCTCTGCGCAAACTTCTGCGTCTCATTCAGCGTCGTTGTCGTGGTGGTGGTGGTGGTAGTCGTGGTGGTGGTGGTAGTCGTGGTGGTAGTTGGTGCAGTGGTCGTGGGAGGGGGTGTGCTCTCCCGGCGGACACGCTGGTGCGGTTCTTCTCCTTGGTGGGAACGATGGTTTTGGGCTGGTCGCTGCTGCGAGACGGTGGAGGGGCAGAACTGGCGTACAAACGCCTCCATCACACGGACGTAGTCCACGTACGTGTCTGCGCGTGAAAAGCACGTACGGGCATGGGTCAGGGTGTGAGGGTGTGTGTGTGAGGGTGCGTGTGTGTGTGCGTGTGAGGGTGTGTGTAAGGGTATGAACACGAGAGAGAGAGAGAGAGAGAGAGAGAGTGTGTGTGTGTGTGTGTGTGTGTGTGTGTGAGGGTTTGAATGTGTGTGTGTGTGTGTGTGTGTGTGTGAGGGTGTGTGTGTATGCGAGGGTGGAACCCAACATAACCGCATGAAAAGACCACGCCGAGGCAATGAGCTCAATGGGCAAGTTCACGCCAATTGAAGTGAGGGGTCACTTCTTTCCCACGCGTACCAATGTTGAGGTCAATGTTCTTGGGGGAAGTGCGCGCGGATAGATTGGTCACATTGAGAGAACGCAGCAGTGTGCGAAAGGATGAGATGGACGTGCGCGCGTCGGTGCATAGATTGGCGTGTGCATTGCACCCGATACCAATCCATGCAGATGCTGGGTCCGTTGGAGTTGACGGCAGATCGATGGTGTCGCTGGGGCTGTTGATGTGCTCTTGGCACGGGCCCTGAGCATACACCATCCGAGTTGCTGTGGTTTGTGTTAGCAAGGAAGGTGCAGCTGGTGTCGAGGTTCTTGGTGCCGAAGCAGCAGCGAGGACAGGGGTGAGGGTTGTCAGGATCAGGATGACCGCTGCTGTCACGAAAAAGGTGGAGGGGGATCGCCTGCGCTCGCCATCCCCCTTCCCCGGGGTTGTGCAGGGAGCCTGGCGTACCATGGCTCTGGTTCTGGCGGGCGATGCCCTTTTCCCTTCCTGATTCCTCCTGTCCAGTGTCCTGTCTCTGTGACCTTGTGACACAGTGTCCTAGTGTCCTGTTGTGGCAAGGCGCTGTTGGCGTTGTGGTGGTCTTGTCCGGTTGCAATGTGCTAGTGTGTTGTTTCAATGTTGCAAGCAGGCAAGCAAGGTTGAGAAGAGAAGGCAAGAGCTCAGCAAGTCAGCCGAAGAGATCGAGCGTGAACAACACTGGAGCCAGGAGTCCGATTGCCGTGCTTCTGTGCTTGTGCAGGTGTGTGGAAGGGAAAAGGCGATCGCGGAAGCGCTGAGAGGGAACAAGAGGGAAGAGGAGAGGAAAAGTGGAGGCAATGTTGTCTTGTTGTTGTGGACAGCCACACAGAAGAGGAAGGAAAAGATTTTTGTTGGCGTTGTGCTCCAACATGAGCCGCCTGTTGTCTTGTTGTTGCTGTGCTGTTGTTGCGTATGCGTGCGTATGACCTTGATGTGTGCGAGTCTCCCAACTCGTGCTCCCTTTTACGTGTTGTTGGTGTTTTTGTTGACAAGTCTACGTGCTATCATACTGGACTATGTTGGCGCATGAGTCGAAAGAAAGAAGAAAGACATGAGCATGAGCATTCCGGACACATGAATCATCCACTGCTACAACCCGACAACCACACACACACACACACACACACACACACACACACACACACACACACACACACACACACACACACACACACACACACAAACACACACGTGTTTGCTTTGCTACTGGTCCAAGGCCGCGTGCAAGCACTGCGGGAAAAAGCGTTGGAGGACGGTGGAAGGTGGCTGTTCGGAGTATTCAGCGGCTTTGTCAAGCAGGAGGTAGTGGCGTGCGTTGACGGAGAAATACGCCCACGTGCTGCGTGCAGGTGCGGTGTCCACAACAGACTCCACCTCCACAAACATGCGCTGGGACGTACTGTACGCATACAGGCTCAGCTTCAAGTCAGGAACGTCACCGATGCTGTGGCCCGCTATCGGTACAGCGAGCAGTAACGACAGTACACCGTCGATTGTCGCAAAGCTTGCCGAGGATGCAGCCGGCAGCCGCTGATGTTCGCGGTATGAGGCCTTGGTCACAAACAGCAGCTCACTGTAGCGCCCGCTCTTGGTGGCGATGAGGAAAATGCCCTCGTCGCCAGCGTCGGTCGTGTGCGGCGTATGGGCGATGGAGGTGATGTTACCGCCAATGTCAAGTGGCGGTCGCTGTGCCAGATCTTGTGCTCCTGACTCCGAAGCAAACAGGTAAACGGCATCGATGGTTGCCACAACAAGCGTTGGATCCCCGCCGAGGGTGGTTGCCTCCATACGCTGGATGAGAGACATAACCGGCAGTGTTTGGAGCGACGCACCGATGCTATACACGAGTGCTGCAACTCGGTCGACTCTGGCAAACACAACAAACGGAAGCTCCACGGCATCAGCGTGTGGCAGCACCACGGCGTCAACAGCGGAGCTCGAGGGCTCCATCCCTGGGTACGAGGTTGGGTCAATTTGAAAACCCGATGAACCTTGCAGGGGCTGTCCGAGGAGGTACACGACGTTTTGGGCAAGTGATTTGGGGCGAACTAGGAATGGTTGACCATTTGGTGGGTTGTAGAATGTCCACCTTGCCGCTGAGGGACCCTCGTGTAAAATGGTGTTGATGGGCTCAAGAGATCCAAGTGACGAAACAGCGCCTGGATCAGTGAGGTTGTAGATGTAGCTCAGTGGGGAGCTGGCACTGACGGTGATCAGGTATACGTTGCCTTCAAGGGTGAAGAGGGTGCTGCGCGTTTCGTCAAAGCGACCAGGTTCAAGCCGCCGCCGCAAGCTCAGCCCTTTCTGATCGCACAGCGCCTGTGTGAGGGACGTCAGTTGGCGCTGCTGTTCCGCCACGGTCGCCTGCAAGCTGGTGATGGTCTGGACAACATCCACGTGGTTCAGGAGCACGTTTCCTCCATCTGGTGCGCGCAGCAGCACATTGCCTTGTCCATCAACCACGAGCGCAGCCCTTGTCGTTGCGTTGCCACTGATGGCACCCTCAGTCTCAGAGATGGCGGTCACCACCGCTGGCACGGCAAGGAGGTGCAGCGCCGTGATCGCCACCAACACAACACGGACAGGCAGGTGGGTGTTTCCAATTGCGCGCGTGTGCGCGTTTGGCTGGTGCTGATGCATCATTGGTTGTTGTTGTTGTTGTTGCTTGCAGGCAACGGAAATCTAGTTGAAAATGCACACGAATTTTCCGCGTCTGCTTGACTTGTCCTCTTTGCTTCTTCGTGTTCTCCCACTCTGTTCTCGTCCTCTCACTCTGTTTTGCTGTGTTGCTGTGTGCATGTGTATTTCGCGCTTGCTTGCAACACCGTCCGCCCCCACACCCATGCACACCATTTCTATGCCTCCGCGCCCATCATAAGTAAGTCATCATAAGCCATGTGACATGACACAACGTATTACACCCAAATCACAACACGTTATGATGCTGCTGCGTCGAGGGTGACGACAAGGTCGGGTGGTGGTGCATGTGCAAGCGACGGTTCTTGTTCCGGTTCAAACTTCATCATCGCCATCAGGTCTTCCACAAACGCGTGCAGCTGCTCCTCGCCAGCGAGGGTCACGCCCACCTTCGCGCGCTCCCTGTCCGCCAGCAAGTGCGCCGCCAACGACAGGTCTTCAAGCCCGCACATGAAGCGAATCCACTCTGCGCTCTCGCTGTTGCTGCGTCGCTGCGCGCGTGGCACAGCCATCAGCTCGCGCACGTGTGTTTGCGCGGCTGCCGTGAGCGAGGCGTGCGCACGGGCAATGCCGGCTAACACATCCGCGTCACGCTCCGGCACAAACAGCCGCAATGATGATGATGATGATGATGACGTTGGTGGCGACGACAACGACGACGACGATGTTAGGGGCGGCGGGGAAGACGAGGGCTCGGGTTGTGATTGCAATGATCGCGATGACTGCGGTGGTTGTGACGTTGTGGGCACGGTTGTGGTGGTTGAACCAGATGTAGTGTCGTTAGATGATGCATCCACGCTCATGCTGTTGCCGCTGGGGCCAGCGTCGCCACTGTGCTCTTCACCTTGGCCATCACCGCTGCCGTCCTCTGCGTCGTCGCCAATCCAGAGCCGGTCTGGAATCTGCCGGTGCAGGTACTGCAGGCAGCTTTCCAGCAGCTCCTCGTGGTACGGAAACCGAATCAGCGCGTGCCCTGCATCTGTTCCGGTGCCCGTTGATGGGCCAGGGGTTGTTGAGGAAGAGGTGGCCACGGCGGTCGTTGTTCTGACGCTTGAGTTTGCGTCTGTGCTACTGCTGCCGCTGCTGCCGGTGCCGCTGGTGTCCGTGTCTGTGCCTGTGGCTGCGGTTGTGTCCGTGTCTGTGCCTGTGGTCGCGTGTGTTGTGCTTGAAGCCGTGGTCTTTGGGACGAGAAAGGACCGCACGAGTCGCGTGGTGGGGGTTTGGAACACAATGTGCACGCGGGCAAACGAGTCGTGGCTGTGGTGGAGGGCAAGGTGGCGCGCGCAGAGCAGATTTGCCACGCGATCGTAGAGGGAGAGGCAGGTGACGGTGGGGATGATCGTCTCCGCTTCGTCAAGGTAGTCCCTGAAGATGGACCTGATTTTTTTTGGGGGGGGGGGTTGTTGTTGACAGCCACACACTCCACGGGTGAGGCATGGAGAGGCGGCGGGGAGGAGATGCAGGAGCAAGGTGGAATCATCATGGATAGAGGCACTCAGCGAAGCACAGATGCAGGCCGGAAACACGGAACTCAAACCACAAGAACGCAGGCTGGCGGGCACACAGGCAGGCAGGTAGGCAGATGACACGGACAGGCAGACAGAAGGAGAGAGATACAGCAAGGCAGAGAGACAAAGAGACAGACAGACAGACAGACAGACAGACAGACACACACACACACACAAGCACACACACACACACACACACACACACGCAAGCACACACACACACACACACACAAGCACACACACACACACACACAAGCACACACACACACACACACACAGCACACACACACACACACACACACACACACACACACACACACACACACACACACACACACACACACACAAGCAAACGCAAGCGCGGACCTGGAGATCCAGAGGGAGATGGTGCCGAGCTCGTCGTCAATGCGGCCCTGCGTGTCCTTGAAGCAGTCGATGAGGTGGCGAGCAACGGCAGCGAGCGGCGCCGTGCGTGACTGTATCATTTCGTGCTTGAAGAAGCGGCTCAGCGAGAGGATGATGGCCTCTGGATCCGCAGTCCCCTCCGCATCAAGGTGGTTCCTTGTTGTGTGGTGACACAACAGCAGAGGAGGAGGATGTGGTGGTGAGTGGGGGGGGGGAGATGGTGGCGGCAGGGGATTGGGCAACACTTGAGCCGTTGAAGCACTCGCCCACACGCAGACAGATAGGCAGACACACACACAGATAGACAGACACACACACAGACAGGCAGACAGACAGACAGACAGGCAGACAGACAGACAGACAGACAGACAGACAGACACACGCACATACACACACAACGCGAGCATACGTAAGGAAGACGCGTTGGAGGCGCAAGCTCCAGTGTCTGCGTTGTGCGAGCTGGTGCAGCCCATCGTTCATCACCGCTTCAGCACCTGGTGATTGTGGTCGGACAGCGGTGGCGACGGGGAGCGGGTGAGATACGGCGATACGAAGATAAGGCAGCTGATGTGAAAACAAGCGTACACTTACTCTGACACACACACGCACACACAGACACAGACACACCCACGCTCATATATACACACACAGACACAGACACAGACACAGACATACACACAGACACCCACATCCAACCACTCACACACAACGAGCGTGCTTACTTGATCCATCAAGGGTGATGCCTGCCTCGTCATCGTCGTCTTCATCACGACCACGACTATGAATGACAGTGGCAAAAGCAGCCTTGAGAATGGAGACGGCATCCGGCCGCTCCCGCAGCAGCTCGCACCGCGTCACCAGCACCTGGTGGAGAGGTGGAGGGGTGGGAATGAGCGAGGTGAAGTGCGGACCGACGGGATGTGAAGACAGGCAAATGGACAAAACACACAGACAGACACGCACACACGTACACACCGGCACAGACACACACGCACACACATAGACATACGCACACACACACACACACACACACACACACACACGCACGCACAGACACACACAGACACAGACACACACACACAGGTATCCTCTGACAACTGACCAGGACGCGTGTGCCTGGTGGCAGCTCTGTGTTGAGGTAATCGATGCGCGCTGCCAAGCGATGGAGCACGGACGAATCATCCAGCAGGTGCTGGCCGTTGACAAAGTACACAATCTGGATGGATGGTGGTGATGGCGGGTGTTGTGAGTATGGGGCCCTGGAGAGGGTGAGATTGACGTGTGGAGTGAGTTCCTATTGGGTCAATCACGATCTGACAGACACAGACAGATAGAGACAGACAGAGAGGCAGACAGAGAGAGACAGACAGACACACAGACACAGACACACAGACACACAGACACAGACACACACACATATGTGTTTCGACCTGCTGGCACGTCTTGAGGGTCTGCCTGGACTTTGCGACGATGGTCTCGATGGCGGGGTGGCCGGCGCTGTTTGGCGTCATGAGCCGATCAAGGTGGTCCCCGCCAAACTCAATGAACTTCAGGGCAAAGTAAATGGTGTCCTGAGGTACATGACGCACACACGCATAGGGTGGTGTTGTGATGGTTGTTGCAGTGGGCTCTTGTTAAGAGTTACAGCAGCAGCGTAGCAGAGTGCAGAGAGCAGCGTAGCAGAGCACAACAGCAGCATACATCAACGGAGTGTGCACCTGGGGCGCCTCCGTCACCAATTTGGGGTCCAGCTCGTACTCCGTGACGAAAAACGCAAAGTCATCGGCCGTCAGCACAATGTTGGCGTGGCCCAAATCCGTATCCTACGCGCATATGTGAGTGCACATGAGCGTGTGTGCGTGTGTATGTGTGTGCACGTGGTAAGCTGCCAACAGTTTTTGGTTCACGTCAAAGTGCGAGTTTGTGTCTGTGTGCCAGCGAACGGACCAAGAAGCGTCCTTCATCCCGGGGTGGTGTTGGATCGTCCTGAATGGTAGAAAGACAGCAGCAAGCGAGCACATGTTGGATGGTGAGTGTTTGACATGCAGCCACGCATCAACGCACACGCGTGTGTGTCCAAACACAAGCACACCCACACCCACACCCACACCCACACCCACACACACGCACACACCCACACCCACACACCACACACACACACCACACCCACACACACACACGCACACACACACACACACACACACACACACACACACACACACACACACACACACACAGCCCGTACGGGGGCGAGGAAGCGGGAGTTCACAAAGGAGCTGGAGAGGATGGGGAGGATGGAGAGCAGCTGCAAGTGCTTGGGGCTCTCCTCGTCCGTGAATGCATGCAGAAACGTCGACTTGCCCGCGTTCTGATCCCCAGTCAACATGAACGTAAACACCTGCACGGAGACAGACAAATAACATGTGTGTGCGCGCGTGTGCGTGTGTATGTGTTTGTTTGTGTTTGTGTATGTGTATGTGTGTGCGCGCGTATGTGTGTGTGTGTGCGTGCGTGTGTGTGCGTGTGTATGTGTATGTGTATGTGTGTATGTGTGTATGTGTATGTGTGTTTGTGTGTGTCCCGAAACGCGCAGTTCGCAGATCTCCCAAGGAGCCACATGCAGTCGTGCGCACCAACGTGCCCGAGGAGAACGAGGAGGCAAATGGGCTTTCCAGCTCAATCACTTCCTCTGGTGAAGCGAATGATTGTGTGTGTGTGTGTGTTATGAGAATGAAACGGTGAATGCGTGTGTGTGTGTGACGTTGGCAACAGCAGGATGAGACATCTGGAAACACGGGTACAGGTACAAGTGTGCGCACAGTTTCGCACGCAGACACACATACACATAGGCGTACACGTATGCACCCACACATGACACATGACACACACACACACACACACACACACACACCATGAAGGCGGTCAAGGTGTCGCCAGGTGCTCTGCTGGTGATAGCCCAGCTCGCTGCGCCACTCTTCCATCGTTGTTGCCAGTGTTGCTTGATTGCCGATTATTGCTTGAAATGATTCGCCATTTTTCGTTAACCACTGCCGCGAGTCCTGCTGCATTGTCAGCGAACACCACCACACACGTTCACACCACACCACACCACGTTCACACACACTCCTGTGTCACAGGCCTGAGCTTGCTGACGCCAGTGGCCTGTTGGAGATGGAGAGGAGATCGTACGGGAGTAGGGGGGGCGGGTATGGCGGGAGCAGAGGTGGCGGGTATGGTGGCGGTCGTGGCGGTCGTGGCGGTCGTGGTGGCGGTCGCGGTGGTTGGCGGTATTCGTCGTCCGCGGAGTACGGTTCCGCAGAGCATTCACACGGCCAGCGTGCGCGGCACTTGGCCTCGTCACACTCCAAGAGCGGGTTTGGAAAACAGAAACGCGAGCTTCAGAAACACCACACCGTCAATCACTACAGCGCAATCGTCCAACACCTTGAGGTGTGTTTGGGCGTGTGGCAGTGTTCGACCTGGTATTTGCTGTTGGTCTCGTGTTGCGGGCACAGTGCTTGTGACAAATGCTGGTTGTTGTTGTTGTTGTTGTTGTCGCATGTGTGTGTGTGTGTGTGTGTGTGCGTGTGTGTGTGTGTGTGTGCGGATGCACCGACATTGCTTAATCCAAAGCTCTCCTAATTCTGGGCACATCGACATACTGCATATCCTCGAAGTTCACCATCCTTGCCTCCTCCCTCCCCCAACGCTTGCATATTTCGACCATCTTTGGCGCATACAAGGATCGAGTGGTGCAGCCTGAGGACGACATGCCGCCCGCGCTGCAGCCCCATCCGGCATTCACACGCTTTGTACGGTGACAGTGTGTGCATGTTTGTACTTGCTTTACACCGTGTAATGCTTGTTGGCTTTTGTGGTTGAACCATTAGCAGGTCGTGTGAACCCACTTCCCCCCCCCCACGCTGTTCCTCACTCCGCATCCATCTCGTCGTGCGTCCACGCGGCACTTGTGGCGAAATCATCAGATGAGGCCACCCACGGAGATGACACAGAACCCGGCAAACGCCATCACCAAAGATTGCGTGCGCCGGTTGCGCCCGAAAGGCGAAGCCATCAACTCCATCGCGTGGTGCTGCGAGGTGTGTGTGCCGTGTGTGTGAGTGTGGGTGTGTGTGCGTATGTGTGGGTGTGTGTGCGTATGTGTGAGTGTGTGTGTGCGCGTATGTGTGAGTGTGTGTATGATTGTGTACACATGTGTGTGCCGTGTGAGTGTGTATGTGTGCAGTACTGTGCATTGCATGGCTACCTTCCAAACCGTGGCCGTGTCACTAACAAAGGCGCGAATGTATTGCCACTGTGTGTGTGTGTGTGTGCCCGCCTGCCTGGCTGCCAATTCCTTCCCTATGATGGTGCAGTGGACGCCCGATGGCCGTCGTCTCATCTCCGGGCACTCCAGCGGCCATCTCATCATGTGGTACTCGTCAACATTCCACTTTGAAACAATTGTCGAGGTGAGCCGTGCGGTGTGGACCTCACGTGTGTGCTGTGGGCGTAAAAGCAGATTGTGCTCTTGTGAAGCGCGTGTATGTGTGCGTGTGCGCGCGTATGTGTGCATGTGTAGACAATTGTGTGCTCATATATGTGTGTGCGTTCGGCCGCATGCTTACAAATCCATGTGCGTCCTCGCCCCCGTGTGCCCACCGCCTCCGCTGCTGCGTCGCGCCAGGTCGGCAGCGGTATCCGCTCACTCAAGTGGAACAAGGACGGCACATGGATGCTCACGGTGCGCAATTGCCGGCGGGAGTGACCGCGGACGCGGTCGTGGTGACGGAGGTTGCCGAAGTGGTGGAGACAACGGATGGGGTGGCGGTGATCGGCGAAGAAGCACGTGTTGTGCGTGCGTACATTGTCGAGCCGGAACACTTTCTATACTTCATACACACACTCTCTCTCTCTTCACACACACACACAAACACACACACACACACTCTCTCTCTCTCTCTCTCTTCACACACACACACACATACACGCTTCATACACACGCATACCTTTCTGACCTCATCGACTTCACTGCATGCATGCGCTCGTGCGTGCGTGTGTGTGTGTGTGTGTCAGGGCGATGATGAGGGCCGGATTAAGTACTGGCAGGTCACCATCAAGAACGTGTGCGAATTCAAACCCCACAAGAATCCCATTCGCCAAATCGAGTCAGTTTGGCAGAGTTGGTGATGTGCTGGCACGTGTGCGTCTGGATGCCATGGGCTTGCCGCAACATTCTTGCACGCTGTTCCCTTGCATTGATGCGCATGTTCACACCACCTTGCTCTCTCGCTCTCTCGCTCTCTCGCTCTCTCGCTCACAAAACATACACACCACACACAACACCACACGCCAACAGTTTTTCTCCAAACAACCGCAAGTTCTGCACGTGCTCCGACGATAGCACCGTGCGTGTGTTTGACTTTGAGACGTTCAGCGAGGACCGCGTCCTGCGCGGGCACGGCGCTGATGTGCGCACTGTGGCGTGGCACCCCATGCTCTCCCTCATTGCATCCGGCAGCCACGACAACCAGCAGCCGCTCAAGCTGTGGGACCCGCGGGCCGGCGAGAACCTCGCCACCCTGTACGATGGCGATGATGATGATGATGATGATGATGATGATGATGGTGGTGATGATGATGATGAGGGCTGTGTTGTGTTGTCGTGTGCGTGTTTGTATGTGTGTGTATTTGTGTGTTGCGTGATGATGCGTTGTGTTGCGTGTGCGACGTGGTGGATTGTTCACCGCAAACATCCTTGAATTCACGCCATACCTCCTTCCTGTCCAGGTACAACGTGCACCGGGACTCTGTGACGAATGTCAAGTGGAGTCCAGACGGCAACGCTCTTCTCTCCGCATCCCGTGACTCCCTGGTGAGGATTACTGCTGCTGCTGCTGCTGCCGATGGTGGTGGTGGTGGTGGCGGTGGTGGTGGTGGTGATGATGATGATGATGACGATCATGATGATGATGTTGATTGACAAAACCTCACTCAGTATGTGTGTGCTGGCTCATTGCAGATTAAGCTGTATGACATTCGAATGATGAAAGAGGTGCACACCTACCGCGCCCACCGCAAGGAAGTCAACTGTAAGTCATCAATACAATCGCACACACACACACACACACACTACACCTATAACCACACGCTTTTGCACGTGCGGTCCTTGTATCGTTGTTGTCCAAAGTGGCATCGTCGCAGTCACTCACCATCCGTGCTACACCACCTACCACTTGCAAACGATCACCACCTCACCACCACCACCACCACCAGCACTGGCGTGGCATCCGCTGTATGAGGACATGTTTGTGAGCGGCGGCGCTGACGGCGATCTCCACTTCTGGCTCCAAGGGTCCGCACACGCACATACACACACACACACACACACACATACACGCACACACCACAGGGGAAAGGGATCTGGTTCACTGATGGTCGTACTAATGGTGGTGGTATTGGTGAAATGCTGGCGCGTGTGAAGTCCATACTCGCGACGTTCACACACACACACACACACACACACACACACACACACACACACACACACACACACACACACACACACACACACACGCATACACAGGACGGAAACGCCGATTGGGTCGATGGAGCGTGCGCACGAGGCGCACATCTGGGATCTGTCGTGGCACCCGCTGGGACACGTGCTCGCATCGTCCTCCAATGACCAGTCGCTCAAGGTGCGCAGGTGATGGAGGAAGGGAAGGGAAGGGAGGGAAGGGAGGATTGGCGATTGTGGGCATGGGAAATGTGATCAAGTGTCAGGCATTCAGGCAGCCATGCTCCAACTGCTACACTTGCTCACACACATTCACACACATACAAACACACACACACACACACACACACACACAAACACACGCACACACACACACACACACACACACACAAACACACGCACAAACACACGCACATACGAACACACAAACACATGCACGCGACAGTGCTGGGCGCGCAACCTGCCTGGAGATGACATGGTGTACAACGATGTGGCGGAGAACATCCTCACGGATGAAGTGCGGCAGCACCGCGAGGACCGCACCAGGGCCCTCATCGAAGGTGCGATGGCGCGCGTGTGTGGATGTGGACGTGTGTGTGTGTATGTGTGATGTGTGTGTTATTCTCCTGACCACCACAATGTTTGTGCTTGTCTCATATTGCGCTTCGACCTGCGACACTTCATTTTGCGACAGGGGAGGGTCTGCCGACGACGGAACGGGCACAAGCGCCAATGACGGCAGCCATGCCCCACGCCATGCCGGCGCCTTCAAAGCCATCGTCCGCCTACACCTCCCTGCCCGGCCTTAACTGACACACGCTGCTGCTGCTGTTGCTGTCGTGCTGCTGCTATGTCGTGATCTTGTTCGGACTGGTATCAGTAAATTGCAGAATGCAAGGGCGAGCGACACAAGAGTGAGCGAGTGAGGCATGCAAGGGGAGCAAGCGACAAATTATACAAGAGCGAGCAAGTGAGGTCCAACACACACACACACACACACACACACACACACACACAAAGCACAACAACACGCACGTACGATTGTTGTAGGGAGTTTTTGGGCAATTTTCCAGCCAAACAGCTGCAGACGACGACAAGCAAGACGAACAAGACGAGCAAGACGAAAGGGTGTGTTTGTTTGGGTGTGTGTGTGCGTGCTTCATGGCTTCTGTCCTTCGTTTTGCGCGCGAGCATGCATACGTGATACATGTGTGTGGTGGTCGTCGTCATCCTTTGCCTGCTTTATCCTTCCATTTCCACTCGACGCGCGTTGTGGCACTTGCCGCTCACTGCTGGGATTCCACTTTGTTTCACGTTGCAGGAGGTGCGCTTTTTGAGCTCGTGCCACAATGAACGGCAGCGTCATGAACGAGGAAGGCGCGGCCGAGATGCTGCGGCGCTTGGCAGACGGTGAGGTGGTGGTGCGGCAAACAGGGACAGCAACGTGGCTGCTCGGCAGCATTGATCCCACCACTTTCGCTGCAACGGCCCCAGGGGCGCCTTCCCTGCGCGATTTGCAGGACGCGCCGTCCGAGCTTGTCGAGACATTGCAGCAGCGACTGCAGGAGCTGACGCACGGCGTGGACTTCACTCAATTGGGTCTTGGCGACGCAGTGCAGGCGCACCCACCACCGCCCGCCACAGCACAAACCAATGACAGCGCAACATCAGCATCAGCATCAGCGTCGGCGTCAGACAACTCCAGAGGCAAAACAGGCGCGAAAGCAACGGACAAAGGTAAAGCACAGCAGGACCAGCAGCAACACAAGGCGAACAAAGGTGGCTCTGATCAACAACAGCCGGCAGCGACAGTGGCAGACGCAAAGCAATCAGCGTCGCCACCGCCGCCAGGGTCATCCACACCAGCTTTGGCTGCCGGTGCTTCGCAAACTGCATCGGGACCCACCAACATGGACGCAGCAGACCCGCTCCCGCCCGCTGTGTACTCGCTCTCACCAGAGGATGATGGCATGCGCGTGTTCCTGTACAATGAGCCCATCACAAACGACCCATCCTGCAAGCCGGTGTGTGTGTGTGTCTACGGTTACCAGCGAAGCGCTGTCGCGCATGCATGCATGCATGCACGCATGCACGCATTTGTGCACGTGTTGTCTTGTTGTCTTTCGTCTTGTGGTCGCTGTCCACGTTTCGTGCAACCACACACAGTGATGTACACCGTGCATTCAAGCACTCACATACATTTGCTCCATCTCGCACGCACGCTCACTCTCCATTGCGTGCTGTCCTGTCTGTATTGGCGCAGCCCCCACCCTGTGGCTGCATCACGGAGCCGTGCCTCAACTGCGGCCGCGAACTCTGCGAGCCAGGTAACACCCGCCAAACATGGCATTGGCAGGGAAACGAGAAACATGTGTTGGCCATCATATCCGTCGTGGTGGAAGCTCCGACACTCCGCTCACCTGCTGTGGACGTTTTGTGTTGCACCACCCACGCGTCATCCACACACTACTCACACGCACACACATACATGCACACGCACACACACACACGCACACACACGCACACGCACACACACACACACACACGCACACACACACACACACACACACACACACACACACACACACACACACACACACACACACACACACACACACACACACAGACTGTCCGAATGCGGCTGAGCTCGGACACTTTGTGGACGTGTGCGAGAACGGGTGCACGCGCGTGGAGTGCACAGAGTGCGGCAGCGAGAGCAATTTCCGCGTGTGCGCATACTGCGACACGTCGACATGCACGGGCTGCTACGACCCGCTGGACGATTTTCCGCTTGTGGAGCCGTGCGAGGACCGCGTGAACATCAGCTTCTACTCGTGCGACGAGTGCCAGCACACCATCTGCGCAACGTGCTGGTGGATTGAGGCCCAGGACGAACAGGAGGTGATTGCGCGGTGCGGGCGGTGCGCGAAGCTGCTGTGCTACAAGTGCCGCCAACGCAACGACACCAACGGCTACCAGACGATCATGCCAGAGTGCTGGGAGTGCGGCAAGAGCTTCTGTGAGGACTGCAAGTCGCAGTGCTTTGTCGTCTGCCAGAAGAAGGGGCAGGGCACCATCTGTGATTTTGTGTGCATTGACTGCCGCGGGCATGCGTGTCGCAAGTGCAACCAGGTGCTTGACAGGCAGGCGCGTGCGAAGCTCCACGCCAAGCAGAAGGCGCGCAGCAAAGCGCTCACAGAGGGCAAGGTCCGCATCTACGCCCCCGCGTTTGGGCGCCACCGCTCGCAGGTGGCGTCCAGCCTTGGCGAGGCAGCAGCCAAGCGCCGTGGTGGCGGCGGCAGTGGTAATGGTGGCAGTGGCAGTGGTCACGGTGGCGGTGGTGGCGGTGGTCACGGGGACGTACCGCGATCAGAGGCGCAGCACCAGCGGGAATTGGCGGCACAGGCGGCGCTGGCAGAGGCACAGGCAGAGGCGCTGATTCGAGAGGAGCAGGCAGCCAAGCAGCGGGCAGCGCGACGCAAGGCAAAGAAGAAGGGCGGTGGGAAGAAGAAGAAGGGGGGTGGTGGTGGTGGTGCGAATGGTGGTGATGAGAGGAAGGAGAAGGAGAAGGAAGGCAGTGTGAGCGGTGACAAAGGCAAGGGTAAGAAGGAAGGGAAGAAGGGTGGGAAGCAGAGCGGAGGCAAGGCGGAGGCAAAGAACCGGCAATCATCATCGTCGCCACCAGCAGCAGACGCAGCTGCTGGCAGTGAGGGCAAGAAGCAGGCGAAGAAGGCGAACGCCAATGCAGCCGCACCAACACAGGAGAAGCAGCAGAAGCAGGACGGGGGTGACAGCAACGGCAGCAGCAACGGCAGAGCAGCGGCCGCAGACGGCGGCAAGAAGAAACAGCAGCAGCAACATCAACAACAACAACAACAACAACAACAACAACAACAACAACAACAACAACAACAACAACAACAACAACAACAACAACAACAACAACAACAACAGAAAAAGAAGGAGAGTGAGAAGCAAGCGACGAAGGAGGACGCCGCAGCACTTAAGCGCAAGCAGGAGGAGAAGAAGGCAACCGTAAGCGCAGCGTGCTTGCGGCATGTGCTTGTTTGGACGTGTGTGTGTGTGTGTGGTTGAGGTGCAGGAGTGAGTCCTTATACAAACGCCTGTACACGACTGACACGTTGTATGCGTGCGTGTGTGTGTTTATGTGCGTATGTGTGTGCGTTGTGTGTATGTGTGTTTGTGTGTGTGTGTGTGTGTACGTGTGTGTGTGTACGTGTGTGCTTGTGTGTACGTGTGTGTGCATGTGTGTGCGTGTGTGTGTGTGTGCAGGCTGCTGCTGAGGCGAAGTTGCAGGCTGCTGTTGACACTGGGGACATTCCTCGCATTGAGGCCGCTATCAAGACGGCATCTGCAGCCGGTATTTCCTGTGCATCCGCGTCAAAGGTCCGTCACACACAGAGGTGGTAGCGATGATGGTGGCACACGTTGTGTGTGTGTGTGTGTGTGTGTGTGTGTGTGTGTGTGTGTGTGTGTGTGTGTGTGTGTGTGTGTGTGAGTGAGTGTATGTGTGTTGGCGGTGTTGCATGCACGCATGTAACCATGTGCTCAAATCGAACTTGTGCATGTACATCTGCGCGTGCATGTATGTGTGTGTGTACTTCTGTCTCTGCCTCTCACTCTCTCACTGTGTGTGTGTGTGTGTGTGTGCGTGTGTGCTTTCGTCAGGCGCTGCGTCGTCTTCAGCGCGCTGCTGCTCTTCGCGAGGAAATCAACGCCGCTGTCGACGAGGTAACGCGACATGAGCACGCGTGCACGATCACGTGTGTTTGGATGCACACGCGTGCGCGTTTGTATGTTGCTTTTCCGGACTATTGTGCAGGGTGTTGGCTTTGACAGGTCCTGTCGCTATTCGTTGTTGACATGTGCATGTACATGTGTTGCTGCCACCGTCTGACAGGAGGACAAGGAGAAGATTTTTGACCTCCTGCGTCGTGTCATCGAGTGCTCAAAGAGGTGCGCACGGCTAATATGTTTGTTTGTTTGTTTGTTTGTTTGTTTGTTTGTGTGTATTTGTGTTGGTGTCTGCTGTCTGTCCTGGGCACTGTGCCGATGCCGCCTTATCCCCAGCAACACACCAGTGCTCACGCTTCATTATCACCATCACCACAACCACCACCCCCCCCCCCAACAGAATATCGTGTCTGGTGACGGCTGAGCTGACGGGTGCGCTGCAGCTGATGGACGTGCTGCCCGAAGATATGCGCTCCGCCCTCGTCGACATTGTCCCGCCATCCCGTCAGTCCCCTCGTGCTCGTGACGGCGGCTGTAGCATGCGAGAGTGACGGTTGGGAGAAATGTACTGCCTGACCTTCTTGCCACTTCTCTTTCTCTCCCCCCTAACCCTCATCACACTCACACACACACACGCACACACACACACACACACACACACACACACACACACACACACACACACACACACACACACACACACACACACACACACACACACACACCGCCGTCTTATCGTGTCGCAGACGACCTGCCTGTGCTGCTGTCGCCAGCGGAGCGCGAGGCGTTAGCACGGAAACTGTCGATCCAGGCGAGCGCGGCGCCAACGCCACCATCATCCACCGCAGCGTCAACGCGACGGTCATCGACCAGCAACGCAGGGGCCACGATCAATGCCACAGCTGCGGTAGGGGGAGCGCACTCAACGTCAACATCCAATGCACCTGCCCGCCACAGCAACGGCCACGACAACAACGGGCTCGTTGGGGGCAGTAGTAACAGCAGCAGTGGCAGCAATGGTGGTGGTAGTGGTGGCGGCGCTGTGTTTGCTAATGGACAGCAGCAGCCTGCGATTGGCGGCATCAGCAGTGACAGCTGGCTCTCCGCCGTGGAAAACCCGGCGTTCCCCGTCTGCCTCGCACCAGAGTGCCAGACAGAGGTGTGTGTGTGTGTGTGTGTGTGTGTTTGTGCGTGAATGTGTTTGTGTGTGTGTGTGTGTGTGTGTGTGTGTGTGTGCGTATGTGTGTGAATATGTGTGAATATGTGTGTGTGTGAGCGTGTGAATGTGAACGTGTGTGTGTGTGTTTGTGTTGATGTATGTGTGTGCATATGTGTGTGCGTATGTGTGTGTCCGTGTGAGCGTGTATGTGTGCGTGTGAGCGTGTGTGTGCATGTGAGCGTGTGTGTGTGCCTGGCAGCGGCCGAATGCGGCCGAATGCGGCAGAGTGCGAGTGAGTGCGTGGTGCGAGCGAGCGAGAGGCGTCTTCTCAACCACGACAATGCATGCATGCATGCATCCATCACCGTTTGTCGTTTGTTGTGGCAGGCGACGGAGTTTCTCCAGTCGGACGACGAGGAAGAGTCGGCGCCGATGGTGTTTGAGGATCCCGTCGCGCTCCGCTCCTACGACGTCGCCCGCGCCCGCATGAAGACAGTGGTCAGTGGCACATACGCAGAGTGAACATGCTTGTATTGCACACACACACACACACACACACACACACACACACACTTACAACTCCTCCACTCCTCCACTCCTCCTTGCAGTACCCGCTGGACTGCGTGGATGTGCCGACGTCCATCCGCCACGGCCTCCCCGTCGCGTCGTCGTCCGCAAACAGCAGCGGCGGCAGCGGCAATAGTGGTGCCGGCAGCAAGAAGAAGGGCGGGGATGAGGTGAGCAAGGCAGCGCGCTTGCTGGACGATCTCAATCTGTCCGAATACAAGGCCCGCCTTCTCTCTCGCGGCGTCACACACGAAGGTGCGCTGCGGAGGGTGTGAGTGTGCGTGTGTATGCGTGTTTGTGCTTGCGTGTGAGTGTACTGTTTCCCGTTTACCGATCACCACCACGCACACGTTGGCGTTTCCCTCACGCTCACACCTCCACCTCACCACACAACACCGCTCCTCCTCCTCTTCCTCCACCTCCTCCTCTTCTCCACGTCATCATCATGATCATGGTCGTGGCAGCGCTGCTGACGCTGTCGCTGGCGGAGTTGAAGGCGGTTGGCCTGAGCAGCCCGGCCTCCCGCCATCGTCTCATGCAGTTCCGCAAGAAGAAGACGAGTGGCAAGGAATTCCAGCAACGCCTGTTTGCACAGGGTAGCTGCGTGCTGTGCCAGGGTGTGGCGGATGGCAAGTGCATGCCTTGCGGTCACGTTGCCGTCTGCATGCAGTGTAACAAGGCCTATCTCAGCCAAACGTGCCCTGTGTGTCGCAAGAATCTGAAGAGTAAGTCTGGTGTGCCTCTGCTGCCGCTGCTGCTGCTGCTGCTGCTGCTCTGTGTGCGTGTGTGTGCGTGTGTGTGTGTGTGCGCGTGTGTGTGTGTGTGTGTGTGCGTGCGTGTGTGTGTGTGTGTGGTTGCTGTGTCCCCTGTTTGACAATGCTCTCTACATGCACGCTCATACCCGCATGTGCACACCCACGCACACACGCTCACGCGCACACGCACGTGTCGTCTCATTATGTTGTTGTCGCATCACTGCTTGCAGGTGTTGTTCCTGTCAACCCAAGTGCTGCAGCAACATCATCGTAATGGCTGTGTGCGTGTGTTTGTGTGTTCATGTTTTGTTTTCGTACGAACCCCAATGAACCATCTCCGCCCTCAATGCCATCGCTGCACCCCACGCGCTTGTGAAACGATGACGCGGCTGTGTGCGTGTGTTTGAGTGGAGGTGGGTATGACGGCAATGTTTCACTACAGCGGCAAACGACAGGCAGCCATTCTGAACACAACAACACGACAATGCATACAACCAGTCATTCATCATGTACACGCAATCGAAAGTGAGACATGATAACAAAGGTGGAACAAGCTGTTGTTCTCTCTGGGCGAGCGGGAAGAAACAAGAGAGCGAGAATGACAAGAGACTGACAAACAAGGCGAAGGCACACCAATCGAGGGCGCTTTGCGTGTTGTGGTGGTCATACATCCAACCAACACAACAACAGGCACGCGACATCATGAGAAACAACAGCACGAGAGAGACGGAGTGGAGTGTCATGGGCAAGCAATCCACACCCCTCAACACACACACACACATCACATTACAAAAAAAAAAAAAAAAACCAACGAAATGGAACAAGGTGATCTGATATGAAAGACAAGACGACTGGGAAGAGAATGTGGCATCAGTACTTGTAGTTGACAGACCGCCGGCTGCGAAGGCGGCGTGACGCAAGCGCGGAGCCGGGCGACTTGGGGCCAGGCGCCTCAAACTGGCCGAGGCAAGGAAGCAAGGGAGGAGGGGCAAGGTGTGTGTGTGTGTTTGTGTGGCGGTCGTGAGAGGGATGATAACAGCTGGCGCAGGTAGGAATAATAAGGAAGAGCATGTGTAAACACACACACACACACACACAACACACAACACACACACAGGCCATGACGATCGGCTGCGCTTACCCGCAAGCCCTTGGGGATCTTCTCCTCGTCAATTGGGGAGCGAACAAAGTAAGACTTCTCTCCACTACTCTTCCCCTCACCAGCGCCCTCCTCCTCTTCCTCCTCCTCCGTCACCATCTCGTCCACAATCTCGTCATCATCCTCACGCGCGTGTCCGCTGTCCTGCTGCTCAGCGCCAGCATCGCCGCTGTCATCGCTGTCGGCACCGCGTTCCATGCCCGCCTTTGGTGATGCAACCTTGGGCGCGCGGCTGCGGCGGCGGCGGGGAAGAGCAATGTCACGCTTCTTCAGGGACTTGAACACGTTCACGGGCTGCTGCTGGCTTGCGGACACGTCCTCCTCCTCAATGTTTGTCACGCTCGATTTGGGCAATTGAATTGTCTTCAAGTCGTCCTCATCCTCCGCGTCGCTCACAAGCGACTCGCCGCCCTGCTGTGCACATGTGTGTGTGTGCATGTGCATGTGTGTGTGAGTGTGTGTGTGTGCGGCGCGTCAGCGTATTGAGTGGACTTGGGCAGTTTCCCTTACCAAAGCTCCCACAAGCGAACGACAGACACACATAGACACAGACACAGACACAGACACACGCACATGCACGCACACACACGCACAGAGGCATACAACCAACCAACCTTTGCCTTTGGCGTGGATGCGACGGGACCAATGGCGCCCTCGTCCTCCTCACCGCCCGGTGTCGACTCATCATCGCTCTGCAGGTCCTCAAGTCCCATCGACTTCACCGTCACCGCCGCCGCCGCGTCCTGCTCTCCTGTCGTCTGTGCAGCCGTCGTGGAGCGGAGGTGCCTGGCACATGCGTGCGTGCGTGCGTGTGTGTGTGTGTGTGTGTGTGTGTGTGTGTGTGTGTGTGTGTGTGTGTGTGTGTGTGTGTGTGTGTGTGTGTGTGTGTGTGTTTGTGTTGCAAGCGATAAACGCAAACTTGAGTTGGTGCGTGTCAACGCGACTCCTTGTGCATATGGTGTCGCATCAACAAAACAAACTCACTGGATGATGAACCAGGTGCTCACTGTCCAGAAGAGATAGGCAATGGACGCAATAGCGACGACAGAGGCTGCGATGGCGTTGAGCGTTGAGCGTGGGTGTTCATAGCAGATGTGAGGTGGCGCAATTGCAAGGTGTAGCACAAAATAGCAAGGTGAGCAGACACAACAAACGCAACAGTCAGAGCGCGCACACACACACACGCACACACGCACGCACACGCACGCACGCACACGCACACGCACGCACACACACACACACACACACACTTGAGAAGGAGCAGAGGTAGCGAAGAAGGGCGGCCACGAGAGCGGAGACAATGGCAATGTTTGAAAAGTCGTCCTGGAAGCAGCGGTTTCCCTCGAGGGAGAAGAACCCCGTCACCACCGCGGAGATGAGGATGCCCATCTGCACGCCACATGACACGTGGCCAAACGCAGGTGTGTGTGTGTGTGTGTCGAAGTGAAGTGAGTGAGAACATTTGCCAGCGAGTTGAACGACAACACCAACAGCAGCAGTGCGCGCTTGCTTCGAGCAGGCGGCAGGCAAGATAGCTTTAACAGCAGGATGCGGCGGTTGATGGCAGCAGCCAGGGGCAGCGGAAACAGCCACAATCCACAGGGCGCACCTTGTGTGGGACAAGGAAGGCACCAATTTGCTGCACGGGAGCAAGGTCCTTTGTCTCGGCCACCTCAACGCTAAGGTTGTTGGAGAGGATGAGGCCAAGATAGACCTGCCATCAACGCAGCATGTGCACAGCAGAGTGAGCACATGGAAACAAAGAGGAGGACAGAGTCGACAGCGGAAGCACGCCATCGTTAACGTGTTGTTCACGAGCAGCCTTGAAAGCAACAGTGGGTGCGGCTGCCGTTGGATACAGAACAGCGACGCTACCATGAGGGAACACGTACGGTGGCAAGGGGCACGAAGAAGAGGAGGTACATCTGGTCACGCATTTGACGGAACGCCTTGCGGTCCCACGGCTGCATGCTGAGGAACCCCATGGTCGCTGTTACCGCACCCATGGCCCACGTGCTGCACATTGTTACACCGGAATTGAGGGTAAGTGAGTCCCGCGGACGTATAACAGCACGGCATCAGAAACAAAGAACAGAAGAAGGGGGGGGGTTGTGGTTGATGGGGGATGAAGGCAAGTAGAAGACAAGCAAGAAAGCAGTGGATTGTGCTGGGCGCAGAAACGTGGTGCAACGCGTAGCAAACGTCCGGAGCAATCTCTCCGCGCGACTGCCACTTCACGCACCTTCTGAAGAGCGAGTCCATGAGGCCTTCGTACCCAACGACAATGCTGTCCTTGGGCACCTTCACGGTCACGTTGTTTGCCAGCAGAAACGCTGCCGAAAGCACACACCCCAGCGTGAGGCATGTTTCTATTTCACACACGGGGTGTGCACGAACACGCACAAGGCTGACAGACTAGCTGACAGACCACAGGCACACAGACACACAGACAGACACACAGACTAGCTGACAGACACACAGACTAGCTGACAGACAAGCACAAGCACACGCACAACACACAAACACACACAAGCGCACACACATGACCACGACTCGCACCTGCCAGTGTTGCTGTTGTGAAGAACACAACGGTGATGTTCAGTTTCTCCAACATGGTGGATTGTCTTGTGAAGCTGTCGATGACAACGAGGCTGTGTCTCGTGGTGGTCGAAGCAGCAGAGCGAGCAAGGACAAGAGGTGGAGGGAAGCACAGCGGCACAGCAGTGGCTGTTGTTGTGGTTGTTGTGGCAAACGGCAAAAACGAAAATTTGGGCGGCGAAATTCGCACAATTTCTGCTGACTCAGCACATCCAAGATGAGCACTGTGACGCGACAACAGGTGCATGTGTGTGTGTGTGTGTGTATGTGTGTGTGTGTGTGTGTGTGTGTGTGTGTGTGTGTGTGTGTGTGCACCTTCATTGGGTTCTTCTGATACGTTAGTTTGTTTCCCCGTGCTTCCCATGGCCCAATCACGCTCACATTGGCATTCATTTGTGTATGTGTGGTGTGTTGCGTGGTGACATGGCAGCTGTGACACAGCGCCACACGGACACACACGAGCCAACGCTCGCACGCAGGCAGGACGCGATCCGCTCGGTTAGACACACACACACGCACACCCTTGCATGTGCTTACGTTGAAAAATCGATTGGGTGCTTGTATGTGTTGCATACCCCCCCCCCCTCTTCCTCACCTCCGTGCAACTTCAACCTGTTCAACTGTTTGTCTGCAGGACATTTTCTACTTCTTTGAGGACCATCTCAAGGATGAATTCCCAGCGGAGTC